GAGAGGCTGGAGGTGGCCACGGCCCCTGCAAGAAAAAAAATTCTTAAGTATATATTATGTATAAATACTTTTAATTTGTAGAAAGTATGTTAATATTTTACACTTTGACCCATGCAATGTAAAATTGTTAAGGACCGGCCCCTTTAACCCTAAATGTCTGGCTCCGCCACTGAATGTCATACTACTAAATGTCCATTGTAAAACTCGTTCAAGAGTTAATAAATACGGAGTAATGCATGAAGTACCCCGGTCTCATTTTATGTGTCTTCTTTGACTTTGGTACAATAATTAATAAAGTGATTGAAAAGATAATAGTTGTGGTTGAGATTTGAGTACGATAAAGTGAAATGTTGTGGATCACATATTTCTTTTCGAAAAGGGAAAGGTGACACTTATTTTGGGACAATCCAAAAAGGAAAGTAAAACAGGTAAAATGAGACGGAGGGAGTAAGACAGGTAATATTGATAGTATTATTTATGTACTCTTTTCGTCCCACAAAGTTTTTCCCTGTTTCATTTGGACCGGAGTTTAAGAATGTGAGAATAAAGTAAAAATGTCTGATTGCGATTAAGTAAGAAAAAGATAGATGAATAATAGTCACACTATACTTTCTAAAAAGAGAAATGAGAAGAATTTTTTAGGACGTCCCAAAAAGGTGTTTTTTTTACCCCAGGGGGGTCTGGGGGAGGGGGGCTGGGGGGAGTATGGAGTAATCAGGGCTGAAACTCACTCCATTGAGTTTCAAACCCTTGTGTGCCTAGCGGGATTCGAACTTGAGACCTCCCACTAGGCACGGTAACCTCGCAACCAGCTAGGCTGAAGTGCTTGGTTGGACCTCCCAATAAGATAAGTGAGAAGAACTTTAAGGGACGGAGAGAGTACATATTATTTTTCCTCTATAATATTAAAATTAGTATCTAGATATACACATATTAATAATAAAAGTTCATTTGATGTTTCAATAATAACATTTTACTGGGGAAATAATCTATTTGGTTTCCAATCGTGTTTGGGAAAAACTGTCAAATGTAAAATTCCATCAATACTATTATCCTTAGTTTTAGAAGTTTTTTCAAAAATATTACTAAAATAAAACTTATTTATAACAATATGACTAAGTATGTTTTCTTTTGAATTGTTTTCAGTCCCAGACCAGACCAGACTAGACCAGATCAGACCAGAACAGACCAGAGCAGACCAGATCAGACCACACCAGACTTCTGTAGTTATAATACACAGAGACCAGACGTTTACCAGACCAGACCAGATCAGATCAGACCTGACCAGCAAATTTCAGTCCAAAAGAAAACAACATCCTAATATAATACAAAGTAGTTACTATAGTAGTATAGTCTCATAGCTACTTATGTGTATAATAAAGATCAACCATAAATTACTATGAGTAAGTTAATACGATAATCATTACATTTATTATGTACTACCTTCGTCCCAAAAAATTCTTCCGATTCAAACTTGGCTCGCAAATTAAGAAAGTGAAAATAAAATGGAAATGTATGTTTGTAGTTGTGTAAGAAAAATGTGAATGAATGTGAACCACATATTTTTTCCAAAAATGAAAGTTGGGAAAATTTTTGGGACGACCCAAAATGGAAAATTGGAAGAATTCAATGGGACGGAGCTGAGGGAGTACTATTTTTACAAGCAACATTTATTTTAGATATATGCACGTAATTATTTTTAGTTTTTAATGGGTCTATTTTAGATGAGCCAACGAATGAGAACCCAAAACCATCCACGTTCATTTCATAAGAAATGCACGACCAATTCGTGGATATGTTCACGTAGGCATAGGGACCGCAAGTATTTTAGTTCGATCCATCACTTATGTAATATGTGGGCTAAGAAAATGACATTCATACCCAATTTCGTACTCCCTCCATCCTTACGCTTTCAAATTTGTTTTTGAGTGTCTCAAAATAAACTTTAGATTCTCTTTTGATAAAAAAAAGTTGTCGTGCACAATAATTTTTATGCATTATTACAAATTTCTCTTTCTTGTGCATAACTATCATCACACAATACTCACTAACTTAATTCATGTGCCAAATGTACAATGGAAGTTAATCGATGAAGGAAGGTAGTACATTATTTGTAAATGCTACAAAATACTCTCTTATTGCCTTATTTCTTCCTCCTCGATCTTCTCTCATCCCTCCCTCTATCTACCCCACTTGATTATTCACTTAAAGATTGAGAGCCCATTTGATGACCCTATTTTTTTTTTACTTATCATGCTTATTCGTCAAGTTTTTCATTAAACACACAACTTTTTATTTCATGTGCTGGATTATATATAATAATAAGAAAAAGTAATGTTGAAGTTACTTCTTTGACTGTTTTGGCTGAAGTTGCTGTAGAGGATCACTGAAGCTATTTTTCATACAGAGTATAATATTTTCTTTATTTAATTAATAAAATATACTATCTATGTTCTTAAATAAATGCAACATGTATAATTTTATATTATTCACATGATCTACTCCTACGTTTTATTCATTAATGTATTAATATATTTTTTCGAAAAAAATATTTTTAAATTTGTTTCATTGTAAATTTTCAAAAATCTAATTTTATTTAATTTTTTACTAATTATTTTGAAAACATAATGTTAAATTTGTCTCATTGTAATTACTTTTACCTTTTGTAAATTTGTTTACAAAAGGTATCGTAATGCATGTGAAAGAGTAACTCGAACGTGTCGTAATGCAATTTTCAATTGTTGAAGTGGTAGATTTAGAGTTTCAGCAGAGCATTTTTAGCGTAAATACAGGGCCGGTCCTGGGGCATGGGCAGGAGGGGCATGCGCCCAGGGCCCTTTGCTCCAGTAGGGCCCATAAATTTCTCAAACATATATGTGTGTACATAAATATTTTAATTATATATACATCCTAAATCTATAAAAAATAAAAAATAAAATCAAAATTATATTTTTAGATACTTCTAATTTGTTATTTACCATCTACACGATACAAGTCTATAATTTAGAAACATCCACATTAGAATTCGTTGGGAACATATTTCACCATTTCTTTTGAATCATTACGGATTATTACATTACTAGTTTACATACGCGCGTTGCGCGATTTGAGTAAGTGTCCAATCTATATTTTGTTAAAACAATATGAATTTTGTATTTTGATTTGTTTGATTAGTATTTGACATTTCACCATCATGGACGACAGGCAAAAAACAAAATAAAAAAACTTGAATAATAATTAACTCCATCAAAAGTGAATATGAGTTTCAATTTGGCTACTCAATTCAGTTGCATCTACTAAGAAGCCTCAAGTTTTTTTATGGACTGCTATGCTTAATTGCTTATGCTATGTTTCCTGTTTTTTGGTAGAGTGGTGAAATACATGGCTTGAGAGAAATTGTATTAGAGTGCTAAGAACAACAAAATAATTACAAAAAACAGCAAAAACATGACAAGAAACAACAAGAGCTCCTACCTGATTGGAGAGAAATTTAGACAACCTTACAACTGCTTCAAAAAAGGGATAATTTGAGTTTCCACCCCATATTATATATTGTCTAAATTGGACTTTGCACCCCGTTTTAAAAAATCTTTATTTTTGCACCCTAAACCCACATGAAAAGACAAAAATGTCCATCCATTAACAATTTTGTTGACCTTGAACATATTTCTGAATGAGGGCATTTTTGGCTTTTCATATGGGGTTGAGGTGCAAAAACAAAGTTTTTTAAAAACGAGATACAAGGTCCAATTTAGACAATAATATGGGGTGCAAACTCAAATTACCTCTTCAAAAAAGACCATAAAAGAAAAATAAAGAGTAAGAGAACCTGCAAAAAAAGGCATCAAGAAAACGTACTAAATTGCAAGGAAACAAGCAAAAATTGCGTGTTTAGTGAAAAAATGGCTGATAAGTCTGATAAGCAAAAAACAGTGTTGCCAAACGGCCTCATAAAAGTTAATCGTTGTGAATGAAAATATTAAATGGGCATATGAAGGTTATAATCATTGTAATGAGACTGTCAAAGCCAGAGCTATTGGAATCATGCTACAACTATTGTACACTGCTCGTTTTATTCAAATAATTCTCTATATACATGAATAATGTGACACCGCACCCGAACGTCCTTGAAAATTCAATTAAAATTTCAAAGTTTATGTATTGAACTTCCGATTCCCAAACAATTGTAAAACGATTAATGTTTTACGTAATTGATGATCGATTATTGTACTGTTCGAACTCGTATATTAGTGTCGGGCTTGCAAATACTTATTTGGACTTTATTAATGAATAAAAGAGCCCAACATTATCTAAATAATGTTACTTAACCTTTCAAGACAATTTGAGGAAGGTCGGGCGGTTCAAACATTATTTTGGGCCCAACCTGCTAAAAATACCAAGTCTTCGAGAGCGGCGTCCTAGACCCACTCGGGAGTGACCCACACGGCTAGTAGCCCAATAATGTGTATGACAAATGTCAAAATAAGTGATAGGATGATTAGAGAAGAATACAAATGCCCATAGCTCCATCCTTGACATTATTGAGCTAAATAATGGGAGTATGATTTTCCTTATGTGATATCCATCAAGTAAATTATTGAGATGAGCCTACATATATTGGAGGTCAATAATGTGATGAAGGAAGTTGACTTTTTCTAAATAAATTAGAATGAGTACAAAAGACATCTTTAGCAAAAGATAAAACAATAGGACCCATTTTCCCATTTTTGGAAGTATTGGTAGATATTTTGGACCCCAAGTTGAATGAGATCAATTGGGAACCATTCCACATGGACTTGGTACCTTCAAAACAAAGGAAAATAGGTGAGATGACTATATGGGGCGGACTCTTGGCTCACATGCACAAAAACTCCAAGAAAAACAAAAGGGGGAGGTCCACCCCATATTTGATTGCAAACCAAATATCTCCCATGTTCTTTTGTGAGCCACATGCTCTCTTAGCATGTTTAAGGTCTCCTATACACTCCACCCTACACCCCATTCGAACCCCAAAAGAGATAAGAGAGCAAAAAGTATCCACACAACCCAAGAGAGAAGGAAGGAAGAGAGCAGTCCGCAGGTTCATTCTTCAGTGCGTAGAACTGACTGTTTGAGCCATAACTCGAGATCCACTCGTCCAATTAAGGCGTATAAGATACCAAAAGAAATCTCTCAAGACGAGGAATCCGTGAAGGTCTGGTTTGCATCAATCGAAATAGGGTAAGGCTTCCAAATCGTCTGAGCAAAACACAACTTCGCAGAAACGTATTTACTCTCCTAAAGTGAGTGTTAACCCCAAAACTTTACTTTTCGTTTTCCAAATGATATGAACGATTGGTGGAACTATTATACACTAATACAAGTGTATAATATGTCCTCATAAGGTTATTTTATTGATGTAAAGGTTAGATACTAACCTAGAGCAAATCTTGGAAAACTAGGAAACGAGTTAGCCGGAAAACACCCATTCTAGGGGCTGTTTTCGTACCAACAATTAAGGGTTGAACTAGCACTTTGAGGAGGCTGTTTGACACTCATTTCTAAGCAAGGAATCAGTTCTCAAGCTTCCTTGGCCGAGGCTTTGGTCATTGGATCGAGAAGGAAAGTTTTAAAGCTCATTTGAGGTGAGGATCGACATCTAGTTGCTTACAACTTGTAGGTTAAGAATGAGATTACCTAAATGCCTAAATCATGTTTTCCATGGATTATGATGATAAATTATTGATGGAATATTGATCTATTTTCCAAAGAATGAAATGGGAAATGATTTGGTAAAGTATTGATAAAAATGGAGTTCAATGAACTATTGTGTGAAATAGACATTTTACTCATGTGTGAATTGTGTAGATACATAAATGATTATTTATGTATTACATTGGATGATTAAGTTGCTGCTACATATCTTTAAATATGTAGGGTTTTACAAATGGAATATATGATGGATAAGAATAATCTTAATAGTATTGAAATACTAGTTAATGATTGTTGTAATTGTTAAAGAATTGAATCTAAGGATTTGATTGTAATTGATGTACTTGATTGTGATGCAAGTGACTAAATTGATGAAATGTGATGCTAAAATCATGGTTGGGCAGTCCATAAGGATGTCCCAAATAGATTATTGATATTACAAATTCTAGGCATAGCGAGTGCTTAGGAATTGGGGTCTATGCCAATGTAAGGAGATGTACTTGAGCCCGTGCTCATAGAATTGCATTGGGTAGACATGATGAGGTGATCGATGTGCATGGTGATGTAGTTGAGTTGGACTCAAGAAATGCACGGTGGAGTAAGTAACTTGTGTTAAATAAGGTGCATGGTGATGTAGTCGAGTTGGACTCGAGAAATGCAACCATATGTGTTAGGGTTGAACCCTATGTATTGTTGTGACTAGGGGTCACGGGGTTTGGGCTATGATGGTCCCGGATAGAGGTAAAAGTCTAGAGGGGGGGGGGGGGGTGAATAGACTTTTAAATCTTTTTCAACTTTGTCAAGTTTTCCCTCTAGATGAGTTGATCTATAATCTTTTAAGAGATTAATAGATGCACAGCGGAAGTCTTTAACCTCTTTATACTTGGTGTGAGATAACTTTCTAGTTTAGATGATGTTTAGACTGGTGACAAGAGGAAGTAGGCTTGGCAGTAGACTGGTGAGCAGATAACTGCTTAGTCTACTGCTGCACAGGCAGTTTGCTGACTGGCAGGCAACTGCTGAATTGGCAGTTGGCTGGTGGGCAGGTTACTGCTGAGGCAACTGTTAAGAACAGGATGACTCTTGGATGGCTTTTTGTTCTGGCTTGTTATGGCGTTCTGAAAGACACATATAAATGGGCAGTGGGCTCAGCAGGAGGGTGAAGACCAGGGTACTGCTGAGGCACCTTCTGAGTGTAAGATAACTTCTAGTGGAAAACACTCTCAAGGAGAGTGAGTTATTAAGCAGTAGGCTAAGCAGTACAGTCGATAAAGACTACTGCTTAGGATGCTGCTGGCAAACTTCAATCCTTTAGTGAGATGTGTTTGGTGTGTGCTTCTGTATGTATGAAAGTAAATCAACACACGATATATCCTGGTTCAGAGGTGGTGTAATCCTCCTACATCCAGTCCCACCCTATTTCAGATGGATTTCCACTAAAGTATTCAGCCCAATACAATTAGTGCCAATCTAGCCTTGACAACTCTGGCCTAGATTGAAGGTTTTTCACGATGAGTATAACACCACTCAAAGTTACTCAGTCCTTAGACTTTTCTCAATTGATCCAGTGGGGATCAAAAGGTACTCTATCTATCCAACCACACTTTAGGATCCGAACAACTGTTCTCCTAAGTGTTTACAACAATTTGTTTACAAGAAATTTTCTATCCTCCAACTAGAAACTAAGCTCTAAAAGTGTAATCGTGTATGATCTTAGTCTAAGAGCTTAGTGAAGCATGAGTCTAAGCAGAGAGCAAAGTTTAACATGCACTTTCTCTTTTGCTAGATATCTCTTGAATGTTTGAAGTGAATACTCTACTTAGATGACTCAAAAACTTAATTTTATCACTCATGCTTCTGCCTATTTTATAGGCCTTTTGAGCAGATCAATCTCCTCCGTTGGTTGAGAGGAGTTGATCGTAGTCGCTGAAAGAGTTGTACTCTTTGTCTTCATGTGTTGGAGCAAGATAAGGAGATAATTTTTTTGCCGATCAGTTCTTCTTCGAGAGATCACTTCTTGTGTATCATCATCACCTTTTGGGACCCATGTACAATTTCTTGCATTAAATGTTTTTTAGCCTTACGCCTTTGTTATACGGCTTATCCCTGCATGTCACTGTGCACCAAGTAAATTATGTACTGGAGGTAAAAATACTTACCCTGGTGAATTTCCAGCAAAATTTATTTGGAGCATTTGTTCAACACTTCCCACTTTTTATTTGTGTATCAAAATAAAGTTATACTGGTAGGATTTTAATGTCCTTTTTTTTTTAAGGCATCAAAAATTACCTAAATGTATTTTAAGTTTCCAGTATACTTTATTTGATACATTTTATTAGTTATGACTTATTAGGTGGTGGAGGTGTTCATTTATTGGTATAGTGGCATCATCAAAATCTATCAATCGTTGGGTACTAACAATTTCCCCCTTTTTGATGATGCCAAAACTATACCAAGCAGGACAGATCTCCTTTAGTTCAAAAGGAGAATAATGCAATGTTTTACAGTAGTTTATAGTCACTTTCAGACTATTTGCAGCTGCCTTCTTTGCTGCTATCTGTCTTCTTGAGGAGGGTCCTGCTGAGGTGTCTTCCCCCTTTTTGGCAGCATCTTCCGGTTGGACCTTTTTGAAGATCTCTTCAACCTCTTCTTTTGAACAAGCTTTTCTCTCCTTGGATTGTTCTGACTCGTGGGCCAGCCTTTAGAGATCATCGCCCAGCTTTCAGAAGGTTTCTTGGGTATTCTTCTGAAGTGTGATGAAGCTCTTAGCGATGTCTTGAGTAAGTGATTCATAGGACTGAGCATGTGTTTGTTGTCCGCTGGGTAATTTTGAGTGTGAAGTCCAGCAAGGCAGGGAATTCTGTGAATCTGCTGTAGTATCCCTAGTCTCCTGCTTCTAGAAGTGTCTTGTGGCAGGGACCTCTGCTGAGCCTTCTTTTTTTTTTTTTTTTGTTTCGGACCTTGTTGCTTCAATCCCTTGTTTTTTAGTATCATTCCCCTTAAGATGATGCACCTTATGATTAAAATAGATAGGTTCCCCCTGAGTTGATGCAACATCAATTTTTAAGTTGATCAAGATCATCGAGCATTCCAAGCTCCTGCCTTAGGGAATTGAACCGTGCTTCACTGAGAGGCTTGGTGAAGATATCAGCTAGTTGTTTTTCTGTGGGGATGTACTCCAATTTGATGGTTTTCTTCTCAACATGCTCTCTGATGAAATGGTGCCTGATTTCAATGTGTTTGGTTCTTGAGTGAAATACAGGATTATGAGTGATCGCAATTGCACTTGTGTTATCACACAGAATGCTAATTTCTTTAGTCTCTTCTCCATAATCCTTCAATTGTTGCTTCATCCATAGTACTTGAGCACAGCAGCTGCCTGCAGCTATATATTCAGCTTCAGCAGTGCTAGTAGCAATTGAGTTTTGTTTCTTGCTGAACCAAGAGACAAGTCTTCCACCAATTATTTGACAAGTTCCTGAGGTGCTTTTTCTATCAATTTTGCATCCAGCAAAGTCAGAGTCCGAATAACCATAGAGTTCAAAACCTCCATTTGTTGGGTACCATAATCCAGAGTTAGGATTGCCTTTTAGATACCTCAGAATCTTCTTGGCAGCTAGAAGATGGCTTTCCTTAGGTTTAGATTGAAACCTTGCACACACACCAACTGAGTAGGAAATATCTGGCCGACTAGTGGTGAGATATAACAAGGAACCAATCAGACCTCTGTAAAGTGTGGGATCAACATCTTTGCCATCTTCATCCTGACTTAGACCTTGGGATGTATTCATGGGTATTTTCACAGTGGACTTGTTTTCAACTTTGAACTTTTTCATGAGATCTCTTGTATATTTTGCTTGGTTGATGAAGATACCTTGAGGAGTTTGCTTTACTTGTAGACCCAAGAAATAATTCAACTCTCCCATCATGCTCATCTCAAACTTGTTTTGCATGAGAGTTGAAAATTTCTTGCATAGTGCTTGGTTTGAACTTCCAAAGATTATGTCATCAACATAAATTTGGACAAGCAGCAAGTATGGACCTTCTTCAATTTTGAATAGTGTCTTGTCTACTTTTCCTTTAGTAAACCCATTATTCACCAAATATTCGGAGAGAGTGTCATACCATGCTCTTGGGGCTTGTTTGAGTCCATATAGAGCTTTATGCAGTTTGTAGACTAGATCCTTCTCTCTGTTGACTTCAAATCCAGGAGGTTGCTCCACATAGACCTCCTCTTCTAGTAGACCATTTAGGAATGCACTTTTTACGTCCATTTGAAAGACAGTGAATTGCTTATGGGCAGCATAAGCCAAGAAAATTCTTATAGCCTCAAGTCTAGCAACCGGAGCAAAGGTTTCGTCAAAATCTATCCCTTCCTCCCGGCAGTAGCCTTTGGCTACTAGTCTTGCCTTGTTCTTGATAATTGTACCTTCCTCATCCATCTTGTTTCTGAACACCCATTTGGTTCCTATCACATGTTGATGATAGGGTCTGGTCACAAGCTCCCACACATTGTTTCTTTCAAATTGGTTGAGTTCTTCTTGCATGGCTTGTATCCAGTCAGAGTCAAGTAGGGCTTCTTCAATTTTCTTGGGTTCAGATTGTGAGATGAAACATGAGAACAGTGCTTCTCTTTGGATTGATGATCTGGTACGAACTCCTTCATGGATGTTTCCAATAATCTGTTGTGGTGGGTGTTGATTCAGCCATCTGATATCAGATGTCTGATTAGAGTTAGTTTTCATTGGTTGGTCATCCTCCTCATCTTCTTCACTGTCCTCTGGTAGAATAGGATACTTAGGAGTTTCATGAGTTCCTAAAAGGGGGTTTGTTGGTGAGCCATTTGCTGGCAGTGTTCTATGGTCAGAGGCAACTGCTGGCAGTGGGCTGCCTTTGGAGTTAACTGCTTCCACCATCATTCCATCCTTTTTAG